CAGCTCAGAGCCTGGAGCCTGCTTCAGATCCTGTGTCTCCCTCTCTCTCTCTCTCTGCCCCTCCCCCACACATGCTCACTTGCACGCGCGCTCTCTCTCTCTGAAAAATAAATAAGCATTAAAATAATTTTTAAAAAAAATCAAGGGGCGCCTGGGTGGCGCAGTCGGTTAAGCGTCCGACTTCAGCCAGGTCACGATCTCGCGGTCCATGAGTTTGAGCCCCGCGTCGGGCTCTGGGCTGATGGCTCAGAGCCTGGAGGCTGTTTCTGATTCTGTGTCTCCCTCTCTCTCTGCCCCTCCCCCGTTCATGCTCTGTCTCTCTCTGTCCCAAAAAAATAAATAAACGTTAAAAAAAAAAAAAAATCAAGTATTCTGCCTGAACGAGCAGGTATCATGAGGAAAAAAATAAAACAAAACTAAAATAGCTCTTCATTAGTTAGTATGACAAAGTATCCAGGGTCATACACTACACATTTCTCTATAGCTAGAATATCTATTACATCATTTCCTTTAACCAGCTGAATTACATTTGACTCTAAGAATTGGCAAGTTTATTATTATTATTATTATTATTATTACTACTACTACTATTAACCTCTAATAGAATAAATAAGTCTTTAGGTCTGTGTCAGAAGTGATTTTTTGACAATCCAAAAGTGCAGTAGATGGTAACTAATAACAAAACCCAAAAGATTACTGGCTACAAAATTATTTTCTCCCTCAACTAAATTTCCATGTACCATGTTTGCAAAAGATATAGTTATCTGTGCTCATAGACTTCAAAAGAGTACAAATTCACCCACTATTATGAACAATAATTACCATTCAAAACTAAAGTTAGAGTTTTGGTTTGGAACCAGCACAAATATTTTTTAAAAGTCAGAGCAGGTCAGGGCCCTAGAGCATTTACTCAGATCTTTCATTTGATAAAGACCTAGCATTTATCATGTTTTAGGTACTGAGATATGATAAAGTGATGAAGAGATGGTTTAACGCACAGTTCAGTTTATGCCACTGATCCAGTAGCAAAACTCATAACCAAGAAGCCGTAAATCTACTTAACAATACAGCCATTTAGCCACTATTTCTCTTTGCTAAAGAATAACATGCAATTGCCAGATGCCTTGCTGAAATTCAAGTAACTTATGAGCACAAACAATATGCCAACACTAGGAATACAAAAATTAGTAAGATATGATCCTTACTCCCCAGGAGCTCATAATTTTGAAAACAGGATCAACTATTTATCTTGGCATCCTTCCAACCTACCCGAACAGTAATCTCATAAAAGTGAGTCATCCTATATTTCATCTTCTTACTCTTAGCTATATCCTGCTATAAAATTAAAATACATCTTTTTTCCCTTGGTGTTTACAAGTTCCAAATATTTATAGACTTATGTCTCTACTTCATTGTCTCAGCCAAGATAAATATATTTAGCTCCTCTTCTCCTTTCTTTTTAAAGCAATTCCTCAATGTAAGTAATATTTTTAGTGACTTTGTTTAAATTCTCTACTTCTGGTAAATTTTAGGATCCATATGACATAGCTAACTACTATTACAGATATATAATCAATCACAATGAAAACCCCAACCTTGGGGCGCCTGGGTGGCTCAGTCGGTTAAGCGTCCGACTTCAGCTCAGGTCACGATCTCGAGGTCCGTGAGTTCGAGCCCCGCGTCAGGCTCTGGGCTGATGGCTCAGAGCCTGGAGCCTGTTTCCGATTCTGTGTCTCCCTCTCTCTCTGCCCCTCCCCCGTTCATGCTCTGTCTCTCTCTGTCTCAAAAATAAACGTCAAAAAAAATTTTTTTTTAAAAAGAAAAACCCCAACCTTCTTTGATGATATAATGCTTCTTTTGTAAAGTCCAAAACACTGATTTTTTATTTACTTTTTAAATTTGGGGGGTTGTATTATTACATTGCAAATTCACATTTACTCTAACACCTTTAACTCTGGATCTTGCAGAGACAGTATATACTCTGAAATAATTGTGACTAACAAATAGTGTAAAGCCCAATTTCTTATGTCAATGGGAAACGAAGCATTAAGAAAAACCACTCACCGACTGAAACTGCAACTCTATTGCACAAAAAATAATTTTTTGCATGTCCCCATCATGCTTTCAACACCACATTCATATGTGATACGCTTTGTATTTCTATACTTACTAGAGAATCTATCTCAAGTAAACATACAGTTTAAATCTTCTACTCCTGAAAATACTTTGGCAAAACCATGGCAATGTGGTCCAGCTATCAGTACTCATGATCAGCGAAAAGAACCGAGAAGGCTCTCACAGGGTAGATTCCTACTTCAACGTCTAGCTCAAGTGGCAGCTCTCTTGAAACTTTCCCTCATCCCCTCCTCATAACCTCTTCTAAGCTTGAGTAGCATTTAATCTGTGCCTATCACGTAGCCATGATCACCATCTTTCTCACCTATCTTACAGCATAGCTGTTTATGCGTATGTCGTGTTTCTTCTCTGAGAGTAAACTCCGGAGAAGGTCTTTAATGCAATCGTATGTGTACTGTCCCCATATATCCTTGCTTTAAACACACAAGGTAATAATAAATGTTTATTGAGGACAGTGTGTTGAAATATAAATATGTTACTTGATCCAGAAGCATACCGTAAGAATCTATTCTTACTCATATTAATTCACTGAGGAAGTATTTACTCAGTACCTGTTGTGTACTCGAGTACTGCTAGTGTGCCAAAAGGATTCGTAGACCCTCCTCTCTCAAGAAGTGTATGGTCTAGAAGATGATCTAAGACAGCCACTATAATACTAACAGATAAGTGCCGTAAGAGAAGTAAAGAAGTACCACGGCAACCAACAAGAAGGAGAGATTATTGGGGCACCTGGGTGGCTCAGTCGGTTAAGCGTCCGACTTCGCCTCAGGTCATGATCTCACAGTTTGTGAGTTCAAGTCCCACATTGGGTTCCGTGTCCAGAGCTTGGAGGCTGCTTTGGATTCTGTGCCTCCCTCTCTCTCTCTGCCCTTGCCCAATTCACACTCTGTCTCTCTCGCTCTCAAAAATAAATAAACATTTAAAAAAAAAAACAAAAGGAGATCTTATTTCCAAGTAGGAATGGATACGAGGATAAGTTTTAACATTTGTGCAAGTCCTCACAGACAGGTAGTATTTGAATATGTACAGTTGGGGTAATAAATAAAGGTCATTGAGGCAGGAAATCTCAGGATGACACAGGGGACAATCAATAGTTTAATGGTATAGTGTAAGTGAAAGATTATAGGCTTGGGATAAAGAAAAATTCTAAAGACAGTTGGAGCTATATCTGCTATGACCTTGAAAGCCCAATAAGGAACTAGAGCTTTAGTCTGTACGCAATGAGGAACTATTTCAAAGTTCTTGATCAGGAGCTGTGTAATTATCCAGAAGGTCTACAGTGGATGGAAGGGAAAGAGATTGTTTGCAAGGAGACAAGTTAAGAGGCTAGTACCATACCGCAAGAAAGAGATAATAAAGGCCTGAACTAGGAATGAGGCACTAGAGATGGAAATAGACAGATGGAAGAGAGAGCTTAGAGATGAAACTGACAAGACCAGGCAAGGCCTAGATGTACAGTGCAAGGGTTTGCAAGGGGTAAAAGAACCTCCTAGGCTGAGAAAAGGGTGATGCCATAACTAATATAGACATTAAAGCAGCAGCAAGCCAACAAAGAGAAAACCAGGTCCTAGTCATCCTGAGTTTTAGTCCCAGTGGACACTCAGGCGACAACATTAGAAATAAAATCTGTGAATCTATGCTATTGAGAATAAAATACACAGTGTTGTGAAAAAAGAGAAGAGTTGAAATTAGTCAGTCTTCAATAAAAGATTTTGATCGATGATTCAAACGTGATCATGACCTCAAAAATAACTCACATAGCTTATGTTAATTACATAAAAAATTAATGAAGGAGAGGGTTTGATCTAGAACAACCTCATGTAACCACAGAAAAATGTGCTGATTCATGGTTAATAGTAAAGTGGATAGGTGGAAGTCTTTGAGAACTTTACAGTTCAAAATTATGAGGTGAAATGCATCTGTTGAAATGGTAAACCCATCTTTGTGGTCACTGGCATTTGGCTCCAATTTATCTTCAATGCCACAGCAAGAGATGGTCAAGTCAGAAGACAAGGCCTGACAATGTAGCCACAGGTACTAACTAGATCTTCTCGTGTATTCATTCCTTTCTATAATAAATACTTTTCCTCAATTAGTAAAACTGAGTTGACCTACATTCATCCCTACCATATCCCTAGAATCTCCAAAAGCCTAAGAAATAATGATCTTGAAACCATTTTTTCAAGGAGAGTTAGGAACAAAACTTCCAATTTTAAACTCATGATTATTACAACTATTCAGTACCCATATTTTCTTACAAATAAACAAAAAAAAATCTCATCAACATAAACTAAAATAACAACAATGCAAAGATAACTGGCATAGAATCTGACATTAACAAATGTTTGTTACATGTGTACTGAAAAAAAGGTAAAATCAAACATTTGATTCGTTCATAATACTGATAACAACCTTTATTGATAATACTGACAACGTTCTATTTACTGGATGCAGGGTCATTATTTCCATTTAGCTCTTAAGGGAAAAAAAACAGTAAGAACTCAATCTTGAATTATTAATATTTTTACTGAAAATGAGCAATAATGTGAAGAACAAAATGGACTGAAAGGTACTTATTTTACATGTGACTATTCCATTAAGATTATACCAATTATGCATTGAAAACCACATAGACATTTTATAGCTATGCATAAATATAATGAAAGAACATATACCAAATGTTAATAAGGGTACTCTTTTAAGCGTAGGCTTATGGGTGATTTTTATTTCCTTCTTTTTTGGTTTTATGTATTTTCAAAATTTTCTATAATCAATGTTCATAATAATTGTACCAAGAAGAAAAGGTATTTTTAAAAAGAGGTAAAAAAAACCCATATTGATCAATTTAAAAGAAACATACTTACCAGATCTCTGTGAAGCACCCAATTTGCATGGAGGTAATGGATACCATCAAGAATCTGGTAAAGTAATGATTTGACCATAGATCTTGGCAACTGCATGGGCTTTTTATTTGCTTTTGATGCACGGTGAAACTTAATAATGTGCTAAAAATTAAAAAAAAATAAAACATACTATTATAACATATAGTCTCTGCTAATATTTGTATCAATAAAACACAATCAAGTCTACAATGAATTCTCTACATTTAAAAATTACTTATTAAAGGCCAATAATGACACAAAGAAAAATAATTTGAATGATAAGGGACCTATACTGGGGGTGAGTGTGACAATGTTATTGTGGGTATAATAACTAGATTTACTGAAACCAGTAAGATTTTCATTAAATAGAACCAAAAGGTAAAAAGCACTGATACTTAAAAGACTGCATAAAAACAGTACTAGTATTTTTTTTTGAAAAAAAAAAAATAGTATTAGTTGTATTCTCTACTGACAGAATGAAAGATTAAAAGAGAAGAAAAAAAATACTCTATAATTCTTTACTATATTTTTAAAAATATTTTATTTTAAGTAAACTCCATGCCACACATGGGGCTCAAACTCATGACCCTGAGATCAAGAGTTACATGCTCTACCAACCGAGCCAGCTACATGCCCTTAAATCTTTACTACTGTATAAAAAGTTAGCACTTAGTAAATCTGTATAATGTCACTGACTATGTGTACATTTGAATTATTGCAAAAGTCTACCTTCTTTTGGCATAGGATGAAATTAGGATATATTCCTAGTAGTTAATATTAAATAGGAAATCATTAGAAAGGAGGAAGGAGAGGGGCGCCTGGGTGGCGCAGTCGGTTAAGCGTCCGACTTCAGCCAGGTCACGATCTCGCGGTCCGTGAGTTCGAGCCCCGCGTTGGGCTCTGGGCTGATGGCTCAGAGCCTGGAGCCTGTTTCCGGTTCTGTGTCTCCCTCTCTCTCTGCCCCTCCCCCGTTCATGCTCTGTCTCTCTCTGTCCCAAAAATAAATAAACGTTGAAAAAAAAAAAATTTAAAAAAAAAAGAAAGGAGGAAGGAGAGAAAAAGGCGAAATTCAACCTCATTGAAATAAATACAACTGGATCACTATATTCAAATTTTTATGACCACATGTTATTTTGTAGGTTATGATAACATCATTTTGATAGGGAAGATATGCTACCTGTCCCCCAAACCTCCACCTCCATCTTTGCCTCACCCCTGTGCAAAACACAACATGATGGGTATTAAAGGTCATGTAGGGGCGCCTGCGTGGCTCAGTCGGTTGAGCGACCAACTTTGGCTCAGGTCATGATCTCACAGCCCGTGAGTTCAAGCCCCGCATCAGGCTCTGTGCTGACAGCTCAGAGCCTGGAACCTGCTTCAGATTCTGTGTCTCCCTCTCTCTCTGCCCCTCCCCTGCTTATGCTCTGTCTCAAAAATAAATAAAAACATTAAAAAAAAATCAAAAAAAAAAATAAAGGTCATGTAAACCCCTATTGAACAACACTGGTAAAGCTGTCAATAATGCTCCACTAACTTAAACATGGCCAAATGGCATAGAAAAATTTTAACCTATTAACAGAGCTTTCTTGCTTTTTCATAAGCTGTTTAACAACATGTACTTTATTTAAGGAACTAATAGAAAATTAGGGTTTATATGGAGGGGCAGTATCCAGAAAATATATAATAGGAGCTTCACATATATAACTTTCAACATTTTATAGCCACAGCAAAAGAAAAAAAAAAAAGAAACAGGTAAAATTAATGTAGTATATTTTAATTAACCCAGCTTATTCAAAATATTATCATTGCAACATAGAATCAAAATAAAAAATATTAATGAGATTTTTTTTTTCATACTAAGTCTTCAAAAGTCCGTGTGTATTTTATATTTACAGTACATCTCAATTTAGACCAGCTACACTTCAGGTGCTCACTAGGCACACGTGGCTAAGGGCCATCATGTTACAAACGACATGGTTCTACAGGACCCGATCAGTCCAATGCACTGCATGTTCTTTCATTATACCACTGATGTTCAAGGTGAAGTGCGTACATTATCAAGTAACTCTTGGATCCAAACCCACAAAGGACCCGGAGAAATGGGGAAAACATCATTTTTATGAATATCCATGAAAAGAATGGAGAAAAATTCACTGGACACTGTTATCAATATGCTGTAATAGCATAAAGTCTGAAAGCTCCTTAAAGACCGAGAAGACTGTCAAAGTTATTCCTAAACAGATGTGTGACTTTATGTAGATGACAAACCGCACTATGTTAAGTCAGAATTTAATTACCCAAAATTTGAACTTCCGGCCAAGTTTGATTTTTTTTTTTACTTTTAGCAACTCCTTGGATAAAATGTTTAAGCATCTTGATTCCCAACTTAAAAACTTTAGAATTGGAATTTGGGGCTAATATTTGTAAAACCATGTATGTACCTCTATTTTGTGGAGTCGGTTTTAAATGCCAAAATGTTGCAAGAGATTGACCTTAACTTAGGGAAATTATTCACAAGTATATAACTGGTGAAACTTGAACTACAGTGTGTACCACAAGAGAAAGCCATTTTCACTACACATATCAGTAAACTGCCATTAATTACTTGCATAAAATCACAGTTTCATACACATTAACACTTTCTGAAGTAAAATTTCTGAATATTACAAATACTATCTTCTCAGTATAATAACATGATAATGTTCATTGCTCAAATTCTTTTAAATCTGCATTTGCATTTATTTATTTTTATTTTTTATATTGCATTTGCATTTATTATATTTATTTTGAACTCTGTTCAACAGAGCAAGTTTTGTTTTACGTGCATTAGTAATATGCAGTGCATATATTTGTTTCTCCATACCTAGATGAAAAGAGTCCTAAAAATAAAGTGAATTTAAACTTACCCACAAATCATGTTCTGCATAATCAAAGAGCAGCCACACCTTCCTGTCACTGTGAGAAAGGAACACCTTCTGCAATGCGATCACATTAGGGTGCTTCAATTCTCGCAAAAGCTGAATGCAAGAGAAAGAAGAGGGGTCACTCTCCTGCTAGCAAGGAGGGGGGAATGATGAACTTTCTATAAGTTGAAAGTGAAATCTTTGAAAATTTAAGCAAAATAAAAGGAAAAAAAAAACCCTACTGGGGCGCCTGGGAAGCTCAGCTGGTTGTCCGACTCTTGATTTTGGCTCAGGTCATGATCTCACGGTTCCTGGGTTCAAGCCCCACATCGGGCTTTGTGCTGACAGTGTAGAGCCTGCTTGAGATTCTCTCTCCTCTCTCTGCCCCTTCCTACTTGTGTGTGCTCTCTCTCTCAAAACAAATAGATAAACATTAAAAAAAAAAAAAAATACCCCTACTCAGAGATAAGTTCTGTCAACACCTTGGTGCATATCCTTCGGTTCTTTTTCTATGTGTATGTGTATGTTTCTAAGTGGGATCACTTTGGGTCGCCTGGGTGGTTCAGTTTGAGCACCTGACTCTTGATTTCAGCTCAAGTCATGATCTCAAGGTTGTGAGATTAAGCCCTGCAGCGTGGAACCTACTTGGGATTCTCTCTCTCCCTTTCTCTCTGCCCCTCCCCTGCTCATGTTCATGATCTCTCTGTCAAAATAAGTAAATAAACATTTTAAAATAAATAAAATAAAATGGGATCATTTTAAGCAGTAATATGTAAAATGGTAAACAAAAGTAATATCTTATCACTGAATGATTAAATATATTTTGGAATGTGCCTATCTTTTTTACTGTTGGGGGACAGGAACCACATATTAATACTATCTATATCTACTCGAACACAGTATGTGCTCAATAAATATTTGACAAAAGAAGGAAAGATATTTGACAATCCCTACACTAGAGCATGTGGTTGAGGTTTTTTTTACGAAAGCAGTGAGTATAAGATAATCTCTCATACCCACTGATTAAAAAAAAAAACAATTGGTGTGGAGAAGAGGTCCTATAAATAGAGAAAGGATAAGCCCGCACAGAGTAGAAGCTGCACCATGATAAACAAGGAAATCATAAAAAGATAGACCGGATCAGCAAGTGAAAACTTAGCACCTGGCACTTAACAGGCAGTTGCCTGATAAAATATTTAGCAACAATAACTTTATCTGTCCAAGATGAAAGCCTATAAGCATGCCTGCCACAGGCTGTCCTTAACCAGGGTTCAGATTTAACACAAACATATTCAATTTGATATTTTGAATGTCTTTTATTTTTTTAATTTTTTTTAACCTTTATTCAGTTTTGAGAGACAGAGAGAGACAGAGCATGAATGGGGGAGGGGCAGAGAGAAAGGGAGACACAGAATCCAAAGTAGGCTCCGGGCTCCCAGCTGTCAGCTCAGAACCCGACGTGGGGCTCGAACTCACGAACAGTGAGATCATGACCTGAGCCAAAATCGGACGCTTAATAACTGACTGAGCCACCCAGGCGCCCCAGTCTTTTATTTATTTTGTATTTTATTTGAGAGAAAGAGAGAGAGTGTGTGCATGTGAGCGGGGGCAGGGGCAGAGGGAGAGAGAAAATTCTAAGCAGGCTCCATACTCAGTGCTGAGCCTGACACAGGGCTCGATCCCACAACCCTGGGATCCTGACCCAAGCAGAAATCAAGAGTTGGACACTCAACTGACTGAGCCACCAAGGTGCCCCTGAATATCTTTTAAATATAAAACTCTGTGGCAGATACAAAAAGGGAGAGGGAGCAACATTTCTACTGAATACTTTGTAAGATGATTACACACACACACACACACACACACACACACACGTTTTTCTCTCATTTAATTCTTACAACTACCCTATGATGTACATGGAACCTGAAGTCCAGTGTAATAAAAATAACTTGACTAATATCAAACACCTAGAAAGAGAAGAGGTTCGGATTTAAATAGATCTGCCTAATTCCAAAGTCCATGCTTTTTCCATTATGGCTGAAGTCCTTGTCTTCAATTCCTACAGTGTACTGGGCAAGACAGACATATAAACAGATCAACGAGACAAGAGAAAAATGAATTGCCTACCCATTCTAATAACTTTAAATGAGTAAAGTATACCTTGCATGCCTGTGCTGGAATTCTGTAAAAATCGTGTGAACTCCATCTCTGGAACTCTTGTAAATTACTTCCCAGCTGCCTAATTCTTCACTACTTTTGACGTCAGGTTTCCCAATTCTTCAATTCTCTTATTTTGGCTCTGTACTTCAGCTCTTTCTCTTCACCTGAACTTTGACCACCTTCCTGGAAGGTGCTCTACCAGCTCTAATCTGGGCGTGGTTCCCAGATATGACTCCTTGGGTTCTCCCTCAAACCACATGCCCCAAAACAGAGTTAGGATGGGCTGAGCTGCCTAGACAGCCGTCTACTTTTCACAGTCTGCCTCAGGATTCTATCTGTATTTCCTATCGGATCTAGGTAGAAGGAGGAGCTGGAAGGAAATATCCGGGGAAGATATAATAGTCCTACTCCCTTGGTGGGGAGGGAGAGAGGAGGGCGATTAAATGGGTGCTCAGCTATCAGCTACTATCTCTGTTCCCTCTGCCTCAGAAATGTTAAACAACCCTGCTTCTTGCTTCAGATGCAAATATTAGACAAAACAGGCTCCTAATTAATGACTGAATCAGAGAAAGTGGCATTTTGGAGGGATGCAGAGCTATATCCAGTTTCCTGCTTTTGAATATTTTAGGCTCCCAGACTCAGTGGGTTAATACATTTAATGACCCCACTTGCCATGGTCAACCTTCAAGCGCTTGGACACTGGTAAGAAGCCTCACTGCAGGTGCGATGCCTTGTTACCCTCTCTTTCTCTCAATACTGATGAACTTAGAAAGTTTGGCTTCATTATGTCTCTACCCAAAATACGTTGTCTTTGTTGCCTGCAGTGGAAGGGAAAGTGAGACTCACTTCTGCATCTAAACCAGGCTCTGACTTGTATGGGGGAGGGGATATCACATGTAGCAATATTTAATCAATATCTCTAAAAAATTATGTTTTCTGTGACTACAAACTGGTGATCCCTCTACAATGAAGCCACTTTAACTCCCATATTTCAACATTATTTTGAATAGGTAATACAATCCAAAAATCAAAAGTACTTAAAAGATACCTCATTACCACTCCTGCCCTTAGTGACCCTAGTCCCTCTTGCCTGCTGGAATTAACAACTTTTATTAATTAATCCTTCCAGTGTTTCTTTATGGAAATAAAGCAAATGGAATACATATTTTTAATCTGTCCTTATTTACTCAAAAGATAGCACTTAACTTTTTCTTAGCATAATCTATCTTAGAAATCCCTCAATATCAGAAATCCCTCAACTGATCCCTCAATCCATCAATGTTAGTATGTAGAAATCTTTCTTTATCTTTCTTACAGCAGCAATTATTTCTAGGTCTTTCGCTTTCTAGGTTCTTTTTTGTATTGTGGTAAAATATACATAACACAAAATTTATCATTTTAACCATTTTTCACTGTACAGTTCAATGGCATTAAGTATATTCACACTGTTGTGCAACAATCGCCACTATCCTTTCTTCAAAACTTTTTTAGCATCTCAAACTGAAACTCAGTACCATTAAACAATATGGCCCCTGAGAAACTCTACTTTCTACCTCTATGATTTGACTATTCTAGGTACCTCATGTAAGTGGAATCATATAACATTTGTCTTTCTGTGTCTGGCTTCTTTAACATGTCTCCAGGGCTCATCCATGTTATAGCATATGTCAGAATTTCTTTCCTTTCAAAGGCTAAATAATATTCCATTGTATGTACATACCACATTTATTTATCTATTCATCCCTTCCATCATTCCATGGATATCTGGGTTGATTCCACCTTTTAGCTATTATGAATGAATAATGCTGCCTTGAACACTGATATACAAATATCTCTTACTTTCTTTTATATATCCAGGAGTAAAACTGGTGGATCCTATGATAATTCTATGTTTAATTTTTTGAGAAACCACCATACAGGTTTCCTTTTAATATGACCTACAGGAGAGAAAAGTGTAGAGTTTTCAACTGCATGCACTTAGTAGAAATTTTTTCCTAATCCCCAAATTTGCATGTTCTAGCACAGCAATATATACTTTGTATTTCTGCAGATCTGCTGAGTCTTTCCTACCCTACAGGTCTCTATAAGTCACTAACATCAATGTGAAAGCAGATGACGCAAAGAAATAGCAAGCTAATGTTACTTATGCCTATTCTGTTCTTTCTTCAAATTCGTCCTTCAATCAACAGCCAAAGTGGTGTTTCAAAGATACAATACTGATCATCTCCAGCCCCAGGGACAGGTCTAAGGAAGTAAAACAAGAGATAAGGCAAAGGCCAAATACTGAGGAACCTTGCAATCCATGCAGAAGTGTCACCAGTAAGGTTCTTTAATATCACTGGAAACTTGCTGGGCACAGGGGGTTAATGGAGAAACCAGCTGACACTAAAGGTACCACAGTCTGGCTTTCTTCTGTGTGTGTCTCATGGTCAGACCACTGAACAAGCAAGTTTGAGGGTGAGTTTAAGATGACTCTCAGATTTGGCCTCACGGGATCATCTGCACTTTATGTGTATTTATATTCATATATTTTTATATTGCTTTAACAGTTTACAACTGCCTCCCTCCTTAAACCTTGAGGACAATTTTTAAATTATACCTATATCTCCAGGGACTAAACACAGCCTGAAACATAGAAGGAGCCCTGTTTTTAGTGATCTCCTCTAGTTTGAGGGCTTCAAATGTCACCTATGTGCCTGAACTCCCAGATGTTTATCCCTAGCTCACACCTCTTCCCTGAACTCCAGCAATGTGTATCAACATCTCTACTTGAATGTCTACGAGCCAAAACTAGGGTAATGATTTCTACGTACCCTGCCTTCTACCTCAACTGCTCTTCCCCAGGCTCAGTTGATAGCAACTTCATCGTTCCAGTTACTCAGGTAAACAACTTCAGACTTTAGCTGTATTTGCAATATACCTCCCCAGTGAGTCTTTCCCAGGCGTTCTATTTG